ATGTTGGGTTTGCTTATTATGTTAGTATATCTTTTGTGCAAATCTTGTGTTGCATCAATCCACAAAAAGGGGAGATTGTTAGGGTATATTTCTCTCTTAGTGGTATTGGTGATTGATGACAATGCATTTGCGGACTAATCATGTGCACTGAGCATTTAAGATAATCTATCATATGGCATAAGACGATTCTATCCCTTCAGAGGTTCAAAAGTGAAGACGATTATTTTCATGCGTTTCTTTTTTGGTGGATTTGAGTCGTAGGAGAACCGTGCTATTAAGAGGGGGTCCGCTTCGGAAAGGTTAGGGTGTAATCAACACGTATACGTTTTCATTTGCACCCGCATTCCTTTCCCCCGTCGACGGAGTTTGCTCCTCTGTTTTTCTGTGCATAGCTCCTGAAGGCCCCAAGCGGTAGTACCGCTCTGGGCAGCCGTAGTACCGCTTGTTAGCGGCAGTACTGTTGTCTAGTACTGCGTGTAGTACCACTGCTTCTGGGGACTCGACCTTTTGGTCGGGTTGCATGGCAATCGAACGATAGTACTACTTATAAGCGGTAGTATTGCCCACCCACTACCGTGCCACTTCCGCTTCCTTTTGGATCCATCACACTCTCTACGATGGTAGGGCGGTGGTGGGTGCGCATCACTACGGCTTGTAAACCATATTACCGCTCTTTTTAGCGGTAGTACCACTGATGCGGTACTGCCACCATCCCATGTTCTTGCCATGCCTCTGTGGACTCTGGAGCTGCAACCCCAGCGGTAGTACCGCTCCGGCGGCACTACCGACTCGTGTCTCCGTGCCATTGCATTGCTCTATGAGTACTTCCGCCCGAGCGATAGTACCGCTCTCCGGAGCAGTAGTACCGCTTGTATGCGGGTTGTGAGCAAGAAGATGGTTGGATCTCTTCCCACTATAAATAGGGGGTCTTCTTCCCCAAGAAGACTCACCTCTTCCTCCCCCAAACTTCATTGTTGCTCAAAGCCCCATTTTCACCCGATCTCTCTCCCTAGACAACAAAACTTGTTGATTATCTAGGGTTTGGTTGAGAGGGTCCCAATGTACACTTCCACCAAGAGAAATTTGATTCCCCCACTAATCCCTTGTGTTTCTTGTTACTCTCGGGTATTTGAGCATCCTAGACGATTGAGGTCACCTCGGAGCCACAATCCATTGTGGTGAAGACTCGTGGTGGTGTTGGAAGCCTCCAATATCGATGCCTTCAAGGGCACCACTAGTGAAATCATGACATCTTGCATTGTGCGAGGACGTGAGGATAATACGGTGGCCCTAGTGACTTCTTGGAAGCATTGTACCTCCACACCGCTCCAACAGAAATGTACTTCCTCTCAAAGGGAAGAAATTTTGGTAACACATGCTTGTCTTCCCGACTTCGGTTGTGGTTACTTCTTACCTTTATTTTGTGCAAGCTTTATTTGTGTTGTGCCATTTGTTTGCTTGTGTTATTGTTGTTGCTAGCATCATATATGTTGCTCACCTAGTTGCATATCTAGACAACCTATTTGTTGCTAGACCTAATCTGTAAAAAAACCCTAAAAATTAGTAGTTGCCTATTCACCCCCCTCTAGTCAACCATGTCGATCCTTTCAGCAGCCATGGTGTGCCGCAGGAGAGATGGACGATCATTTACGTACACACTGTTGGATGAAACTAAAGGAGGAATACGTGTGGGAGGGCATGATCCGTTGATGAAAAACTTGTTGGACATCCGATTAATCTAGTCGAATTTAAGACATTTTTGTACTAGACTTAATTCAAATGCTATGTATGGTTGATTTATTCTATCTAAACTTTGATGAATATCGGGCGGTTTGCATGAGTTTCTTGCAGTTTGTTCAAATGCGAGTTGAAATGTATGTGAGCAGCGTTGAAGCGGCCTCCCACATTTGTGTTCATGGAGTACCCCCCGTGCGCGGACAGATGCAAAAGGAGGCCCTTTGATCATTTTAAGAAAAAAATGCAATATTTGTAAAGTTTGTCATAAATAAGTTTGGTGACAAACCTCCCCAACTATACGTATACGACTGGTTGTAATGGAAACATCATAGCTAGTATCATGCATGCCAAATAGATAATTTTGATGATGTGTCATAGAATTAAATGAAGAAAGAGAGTTGAATATCATAATAAATGCTACACTATTACTCCGTATCATAATTTTAGAGTATATGTCATGAATGACAATAAATAAAATACTACTCCCTCCGTTCCTAAACGCAAGTCTTTTTAGATATTTCAAATGGACTACAACATACGGATGTATGTAGACATATTTCAGAGTATAGATTCACTCATTTTGCTCCGTATGTAGTCACTTGTTGGAATATCTAAAAAGATTTATATTTGGAAACGGAGGGAGTACATGATACTAATATACTTCCTCCGTTTCTAAATATATATTTTTTAGAGATTTTAATATGGACTATGTAAGGATGTATATAGACATAATTTAGAGTATAGATTCATTCATTTTGCTCCGTATGTAGTTTATATTATAGAATCTCTAAAAAAACTTATATTAATAAATAAGGGGAGTGGATATGATACTATGTATATATGCATGATAATTGTATACGATACTCCCGTAAAAACCAACGATACTATCCTAGCAAAACTTTTGCAAAAGTCCAAATTGTATAAAAACATGCACATGTCTTTATTGCGTGGTGTGACCGTTCGCATAGCCCCGCTTGCAGCGTGCGAGAGTCCCGGGCTAATGAATGAATTTTTCCTTACTAAAGTCACATAGCTTCGGAGCCACTGATACGTAGGTCCGCTACCAGGCCGGTCCACATGTCAGCCAGGCGACGGACGCCCCAGATGCAGAGATAAGTCCCGTGCAGCCACGCTTTTGCATGCGGGTTGTGTTTGGATTCTTTGCGCTATGCTCGCACCCTCCCCCCATATCCCGCCCCTCAAGTGTCGTCGGCTGCGGTTCCTCCCCCAACTTCTTCTGCGCTACGTGCTCTGCCCTCTCCCCCCTGGGGTTTCTGCGCTCGGAATCCAGAAGGGGAGGCCTTCCTGGTAGCTTTTGGGTACGATTCTGGTTCATCTTGATTCATCCGCCTGCCTGTTTCTCTCGATCTATTCCAGTACCACTGTTCTTGGTCGTTTACTTCCCGGAGTTCGTGGCCGTTTCTTTTCCGGGGGTCGTTTCTTGGCCTCTAAGCGAAGTCAAATGCGGCGATTTTAGTTCTTGGCGACCAATGTGGGTGGCGGTTCCTCCTGATCTGTACCAGTACCACCTTCCCGAGCACTGTTCTTGTTTTTTTTTTTTGCTGTCTTGGTCGTTTCTTGGGGTCTTTGCGAAGTCAAACTGCGGCGATTTTGGTTCTTAGCGGCTGCCTTCTGTCCAAGCGTGTTATTAGTCAGATCTGTTGTATTTTCTGATGGTTTTCTTGGAAGAAGACGCTTATCTTGGCGAGATTATTTTGCGAAGTCAGGATATTTCTTCTCGAAACGTGTTCCGGGATTCCTAGGGCCTGTTCTCGTACTTTCTGCTATTTTTTATCTTGCAAAATATTAGATGCGAATGGAATTTTTTTAGTAACCGCTAAGGGGCTTACTGTTCATCTTCATCTTTCGTATAAAGTTTTTAAACACAATTTCCTGACTTCACAGTTCAGGATGACCGGATCTTCTGAATTGGAGGAGGCAGTACCCCCTCTGTGTAAAACGGGGAAGGGAAATCAGAGGAACATGATTCGCTGTATATTTACTAGTGTTCATAGATCTCTGTAGATAACTGCTGTTCATAAATCATCGTATTAGATTGCAGTTTAGGAAAATCAAGCGAAGGGGAAGTCAGGGTACTGTAGCTTCCCTCCCTTCCCTCCCTTTGTTAGAGGTCCTGGATCCTCACTGGAGGGGAAACCCCCTGGATTCTAATGCGCCAGGGAAAAAAACTGCCATGCTCTTTCTTCGGCCAAGGGATTACCATGTGAATAATCAACTCTTGGACCATATGAATGCTGGCGCTTCTCGGAGTGGGGTTAAAGGGATTACCCCTTCGGTAGTTTGTGATTTCCCTAAACAAAAGAGAAAAGCAAAACAGGGACTCGTCTTGACCGCCTGTGCTGATTGGTCACGCAATCGATAATGGAGCTTCATCTTCGGCGAGCAGATTGGTGTTGCCGCCTGTTGCCTGCCAATACCATAAATATTAGTTTCCCCACGATGATGCCAGAGCTCGCCCATCTCATTATTCTTGCTGTGTCGGAGCCAATCACCATGAGTGTGTGCTTGTGCTCGCCGATCCCCGTTGATGAGATGGATAGCTTCAGCGGGTTCGCTCAGCTTGATTCACTAGGAATGGATTGCGCCATGTGGTCAACTGTTCATCAATGTGGTCAACTGCGTTGGTGGCCATGTGGTCAACTGCTCGTCAATGTCAGCGTATTCTTCTGCGTCTCAGCTAAACGGGATGGCATGGAGCCATGGAGGGCAGCTGCAGACGCAACAAGAGCGGCGGCACGAGGTGGGGTGGAGTGATGGAGGCCATGCCCAGAGTTGGCGTTGGAGGGAACGAGAGACACGGGAAAATTGTACACGAGTCGGGAGGCGTTTATTTCTGGCTCGGGGATATGAGAGGGACCGGGCCAATTTCTCCTCTCCCCTGATCCGATTCTAACCAAATACACAGGCAGATAACCCTGATGCAAGTTTCCATGGGTGGGAGCTACCCATGGATTTGCTAGGGTCCCGCCCTTTCCCCTGAACACCAAACGATCCCTTACTGGTTTCCATGGTTCCCCGGCATTCATATGGCCCAAGAGTTGATCATTCATTTTCTACTATACTCAGATCTGTCCTCACTCCTTACCGTTTTAATAAAAAGATGGTTTCCTTCCTTTTCTGGTTTGTGGTTTGCTTTGCATTGCTATTATGTTCTAAGGTTAATTTGTGACCTCTCATTGATTTACTTCTGTGTTCCCAGTGACTCCAGTGAGACTCAGATTTGTCTCTGCTAGAATCTTGCAATGACAATTTTTGACGACGATGATGATGCGGAGCCACAACTGAAGGTCGTTGACAACTACTATTTTGAGAAAGCCAAGAACGAGTTTGTTTGTTTCAGCACCTTGCCCCTTAAGTTTGATGAGAATGATAAAGTCTCCGGGAAGGGTATCTACTTGCGTCGATATCCCGCAGATGGCGCCCCTGCAGTATACAAGCAGGTTGTAGCTTGGACAGTAGCACTTAACCGTGAGCAGCCAAAGATCTCAGTGCTTTCAAGTGACGGCTATTGGATAGAATTGGATCTATTGAAACCACGGAAAATCTATTGGAAGTTTGCTCGATCAGCATTAACGACAGTTCAAATGCTCCACTTTGTCAAAAGGCAACCCAGAAAACTGATGATAAGTCTTTCTGTTCACCTCCGTGAAGTATTCAGGTATTTTGTCCACGTAATTTTTTTTTCTTGGCTAACGCTAGCTATGGGCTCATAAGTTTTGCATTTTGGATGCTCATTTGTAGTAAATTTGAAACGGAAGAGATGGAGGATGCTTTAGGGAAACACCATCACATAATCAAGCGATGTGCAGAGAGGGATCCTGCTTTAATGAGGTCAAAGGTGTGGATATCAAACTTTCCTGTATTGAATGTAGTTGTTCAGTTTGTAAACTCTGTTGAGCTCGCTCTATTTTCATATGATTCCTTTTTTTGACACCACACTTTGTCGAGCTGAGCTCAAAACTACTCGAACTTTGGCAAGCCAGTATTACTTGGACTTATTATTTTTGTATGTTTAAAATATTTGTCAAACTAAGTTCTAAGTCCTCTTGAGCTGTTGTTGCTGATTTAATGGTCAGCAATAAAAACGACATTTTTCTATAAACAATTGGATGTACTCTTTGGAAAGATAGTCACATTCTAATTGTCAATTTTGCCTCATGCTCCGTTCCTGCTTGTGTTTCTGGCTCCTGAGGTTCTCGGCTCTAGTGAGTTGTGCGATGATTTAAGTTGTTGATGTTTCTGTAGAACAGGAGAAGAAAGCTACACTTAGGTGTATATCTTGTTTCTGTAGAACAGTAGAAGAAAGCCCATTGGGCCCATGTAGCTGCATGTATATCTTCTTATCTTCTTCAAAGGAATAGAGAAGAAGTGATTTTGCCAATTCCAGTTTTGTTAACATGGTAACAGAGCTATGCCATCTCCACTGTAGACCTAGGTTCCCGTACGTCGCGGTCGCCGGCGAGTTGCTGGCAGCCGTCCCCATCGCGTTCGTGCGAGTCCAAGTCTGACTCGGGTGAGTCAGAGTGTGCAGCAACGCCATCCTCCGCCGCCCCAGCTGCGCTATTCCAGGTCCAGGTTGAGCTCTGCCGCCGCAGCAATTTGTTGCTGTCTGCTTTCTAGTCCTCGTGCTGCAGCTAGTATCATCTGAATTGTACTCTTAAACACCCCCCTTCAAACTCAAGGATGGTCAGAAATAGAAGCCTTTGTCAAGAAAAAACTTAGCGAGCAATGCAAGATGTTGGCCATACTGAGGAGGGTTACTATTTCTCTCAGCATCGCTACACTCAAGATTTGGTTTCCCGCTCAGCTCTTTCTGATACGCGCAGTGCTCCTACCCCAATGGAGCTCCACTTGCAGTTGCGTCCTAGGATGAAATTCGCCTTGAGGATCCTTATCACTATCGTCATCTTGTGGGCAGTCTTGGCTATCTCACTGTGACAAGGCCTGACATTGTACACGCTGTCCACATTTTGGGTCAGTTTGTCAGTGCTCCTACCTCAATTCATTAGAGTCGCTTCATGTGCTTCGATACTTGAGGTGGACATCTTCTTGTCAGTTGTTCTATGCTTGCTCCAATCAGCTCCGATCTTCTTGTCAGTTGTTCTATGCTTGCTCCAATAAGCTCCAATCTTCTTGTCAGTTGTTCTATGCTTGCTCCAATCAGCTCCAGCTTCATGCCTACTCTGACTCCACTTGGGCGAGTGATCCTGTTGATCGTTGCAATGTCACCGGCTACTGTCTCTTTCTTGGCACTTCTCTCATTGCAAACAGACTGCAGTTTCCCATTCCACTGCTGAGGCTGAACTTTGATCCCTAGACTCTACCACATCAGAGACTGTTTGGCTTCGTTGGCTCCTTGCTGATCTTGGTGTGTCATGTAATGCTATGAAGCACCCATACAGTGACACTGATACGTGGATACGGGTACGGGGGTACAGGATACGACAATTTCTAGAAACAGCAATACGGCGATACGGGACACGGCAATTTCTAGAAACAGCAATACGGCGGTGCTGCGAGTATATATATATATATATATATATATAAATAATTGACTGCATGGGATGGGATCATAATACTGCCCCACTGGTTGGCTCCATGCCTCTTTGAAGTCGGAAATGATCATCAATATCCTCAATCTTCGTGGTGTATGCAAAATACGTCATATGATAGTATTAGCATTTTTTTCAATTTGGCACATAACACTCAGCAAGCATGCCTTTCCCTCTCTAGCGCCAGCAACAACTACAGGTTAGCAGCAACCTTTTTTATGAGCATTGGTCAGCAGCAACTTAGGAACTGTATGAAAAAACATGGCTAGCGTTAGCAGCAACAGCACGTCAGCAGCAGCCATGTACAAAAAATGTCTTCAGTCGTGAGTCTATGACTCATGACTAGTAATTGCTAGCCAGCAAGGCAGCATCAACAGCAGCCCAGCAGCTAACTCAGGCACTTAGCGATGGAAGGCAGCACCAACTAGCACGCAGGAAGAAGAACCAAGTCGGCAGCAAAAAGTTACATTGGTTGCTGCTGATGGAGATTCAGCAACAGCGGTGGCGGTGGCGGCGACTCCAGGAGGCCGCGGCGGCGCGTGCATAGGACGTCGTCGCGGGACTAGATCGTGTCGCTGGTCTTTCGATCGAGGAGATGAGGACCGGTGGGTACCTGTGTAGTGTTAGGAGTGGGCTTCTACTGGGCTCTGGCTGTGCTCCCATCATTCCGTATCCCCGACGTGTTGACGGTGTATCGGATTTATTTTCTTTTCTTTTTAAATCGGAAATCACGTTATCACTGAGATACTCGTATCGGTGCCCTATCATGTGTATTGGCGCCGTCCCGAACGGGGACACACCAGTTTTTGACGTATCGGTGCTTCATAGATGTGATGCACCCACCTCGCTCCTTTGTAATGGCACCGCTGCTATTCAGATTGCCAATGGTCCAGTTAAGCGTCAGCTAACCAAGCACATTGGTGTGGATGCATTGTTCATGTGTTCTCACTGCCAATAGTCAACTATTCTTCTCCAGTATGTTCTATTGGAGCTTCAAATGCCAGATTTCTTCACCAAGGCTCAGACTGGAGAACAACATAGACTTAATGTTCTCAAACTATGTTTC